AAAACAATACGCCAACGGAGGGACCGCAGAAGAAAACTGCGTACAGAAACATAGTTGCAGGCTTGTAAATAATTATAAATCAGCTCTGTAGATGTTTTATGAAGAAGGAAATGGATTTAAGTCATTTATTAGTCCTCGCTACTACGCAGCCGGCATGTTGATGAGGAACGCTCCATGTAAACATGTTTGTGTGTTTACTTAAAACTCCACCAGGCACCTTTAGGCCGTACTTCTTCCTCTCTTTGTGTCATTTTCTTGTGTGTCCTTGTGCAGATAGTTGATGAAGAAAAGAAAAATCACGTTTTTTCCGCGTTAAGACATTAAGGGCATGTGTTTTGGAATCGGCGCGTAAGAACTCTGAGGCGATGTTTAATATTCTGCGTGGGATTAATAAAAGATGGAGGCCAACTTTATAATGCCGTCCCACCGCAGCTGGAAATGATGTCAGAAGAAAATGTATGCAGCCTACAATACGACGGAAACGGGAAAGCAGTTGTCTCTTGCTGCACAGACATGGGAATCGGTGCTGCAGTGAACTACATTAACAAAGCTTTGTCTGCTGCATCAAAATGAATGCATACACATTCAAAGTGGGGTAACTTATTTACAGGGCAAGTTATTTTTTTTAAATAATTATATTTTATAAAATTTTTGCTGGATTCTTATTTTTTCTTTACTGCATTAAACTGTCAGATCTCTTAAAAGCCTCAGTTTCCTTCCTTTGTGAGACTGAAGCTTACTCATTATTTTGTTTGACACATTAGTGAATTACGTTTGAGTTCATTTAAATGAGTATAATGTTAATGGTGTTGGTGAATTAACCGTTTCAAAGTTCGGACGGTTGCAGTTATTTCTCTTTGGGGTTTTCACTATGAGATAAAGTACACCAAATCTCATTAAGATGAAGGATCTTCTCAAAAGCAAATGGAAAACATAATAATGTACGATGTGTGTAATTCTGATTAGACTTCATGCTCTGATGGCCAGGCAGATGCAGTGTGTATTAATATTGCAATTTCACTGTTGCCATTTCAACACAGCTTCTCTTCAGACATTAAGGTGGATGATGTACGAGCGGAATGAGCACCCACATTCAATCACGGATGATGTGAAATTATTTTTAAATGCGAAAACCACGATATTGTCAACTTCCGGCTCCGGCTGGTCGCACATTTGGCCGAGAGAAAATAAGGAATAAAAGCACAAAGGTAAAGGTTCAGCACACCTTTATTTTCAAAATCCTGCGTGTACTAAAATAATAGCTACATGCTAACGAGTATCCGACGAGTGTTTCCCTCGAGATTGTGTGGTATCTTTTTGCTAGTTGAGGACATTCCTTTTAATTTACTAACCTGTGTTTGCGTTAACTTCATCATTCGACGTTGCAGTCGTTGAATGTGTATTTCTTAGTAAGTTAACACGTCATTTGGATCCATGACATCACACATTTTTCTGCAGTAAAACACAATGTAGACGACTTGCAACGGTCGTTATTTACTTGTATTTAAGTTGTCAGCTAATGTCAAAATGATGGCGCAGCAGCTACGATGCCATTTAAGGCGTAAATAAATCACAGGTACATTTGTTTCATGAGAGAAAAACGATCCTACTCAAATGGAAGGTGTCCCTGTGTGTGTGTGTGTATGTCTGTCCTTTTCATCTTGTTATTGTGAGTCCATGTCAGATGAAAGTCTGATCACCACTGTGAGAACTCACAGCTGATCAATCTGCAGCGACACACATGACCCAAAAAGAAACCGAGTAGTAGCCCTCACACGCGCTGCACACGCTAGACGCACGCTGGGCTGCGACAGAAAGTAACTGGGCCAAAGGTGTGACGCTTTGAAATGCTACCGCTGGATGCGTTTTACTGCAGCGCGCCGCGTCTCCGTGTGGCATTTGAAAACCTTCACTGGATCCCGCGTTGTCTTTGTGCTCCAAAACCTTTTTGTGCTGTGGCCTACAAACTGATTCCTGAGAATGAAAGACTTCCCTTAAGGTCCCAGTGGAACAGGTGACACTTGTTTACAAGCTTGCTCCAGATATTTTATTGAAACACGACTTTCTTAATCAGTGCTGTCATCCCATTTAACCTTTCCTCTGTGCAAGACGACTAAAACAACCTCAAGCAAATGATGATTGTTCACTGCAATAATGTGAACCTCCATCTCCGGAACATCACAAAGTTGTTGCCAAACAAACGAGCCACAACATGAAGCTACTTGATGGGTGGAGGACCAACCTGCACCGTGCATGTCCATCCTCCACCATCTTTGGAAAAGCGTACATGTTTGGAAATAGCAAATGCATCAAATGGTGATCCAGGAGTTGAACGTGTTTCTGCACAGGCCATAAAACTGTAGCAAAAGTGCACAGAACTCTTGCGTCTTGGTGTTTTGTGGCGTTTCATTATTTCAGCTGCGTCCCCGTTCATAATGAAACTGTCAGTGGTTCTCTTTGAAATGAGTCTATATGATATCTCCATATCCGGCCCTTTGATGCTTCCGCCCGCGAGGCTCCGGCGTCGTGATGAAAGTCCGTCGCGTTGTCTCAACGCAGAATGTCGGGCACGACTGAACACGACACCAATTCCAGCCGAGGCTCGCCCACTTCCGCTGCTTTCAAAGCTGCTGGAGATGTTTGTTTCCCGAGAGGGTTGCGAGCCCCCCCCCCCCCCCCCCCCTTCGCCCCCAAACCCACACAGCAATCAGGCCCATCAAGTATTCATTCCCTGCTTCCTTTAGGGGGCTTTTCATTCAATATGGTGACGAATGCAGCCAATAAAACAATATAAATTCATGAATATGTATACAGTATGTATATATATATATATATATAGTTGGTTTTTTTTTCAGACCTATCCCTACTTTTCATGACTACAACAGATCTGAAAAAGCACTTTGTGGTTAAGGGAGGCCTTTGAAAGGATTACAAAAGGCACTCTGTTCATACAGGGTAAACACCCATGTGATGTCAAAATGTTTTCTCCAATTTTCTCTTCCTTTATTATGAATAAGCATGTTTCAGGACTGATTAGTTCAACACACGGCCAAACAAGAACACTGTCCTTGCCGCTCAGTGATATTTTATAAGAGGACTAAAGGAATCTTTACGGACAATATAGATTTACAGTTTAACTTTTCTTCAATCAACCTAATGGGCATTTCGTTGTTTTTACTAAAGCAATAAGGTACGAGAGGCTCTACTTTATTGTCCAAAAATGGTTCGGGGGTGTTGTTAGGCAACAGTAACATTATTGAAGTACAGCCTCAAGTATCTCATTGCTTTTACATACACTGTTTAGAGACCCAACTTTACTGGATCCTGTGTTAGAGTCTAAATTTCCAAGAGAAAAACCCCAGTGCTTCCGTTCAAAGTACCGTTGTGATGCAAATTTCCTGGTTGGAATTCAAAAACACGAGCGGTTTAATGGCACCAGTGAAGCGGCTGCAGGCAGTGTGTTTGCTGCTGTTCCTGTGTATAATGAGCGTTCTGCTGACCTTGGCGTGCTCCACATTGCCTCCCAGTGGTGTCTCACCCCCCCTCCTCCACCCGCACTCTCGCCCTTATTCCACCCAGATCCTTCTCCTGCACCCAGCCTTTGTGCCCGAATGATCGGGCAGATTCACATCTCTACGCTACACTGACGACTTTGCAGGTTTTCCCACTTATAAAGCATGTAGGCGTCTGTAATATCTATCACAGGTACGGAATCTAAAAGAAATCCAGGATTTTTGCTTTAGATTCCACTCACAGTTGAGTACCAGTGATAAAAATTACAGACGCTTTGTAAGTGGAACCTGCACAGTCGGCAGTGTATCAAATACGTGTTCTCCCCACTCTATATGATAGTATACCAATAACCAACAGCAACGTGGTTAGTCTGCAGATGGCAGCCAATAGAAAGCCTGGATGACATCATTGAAACAGCTGCTCAAACTCTCTCTCTGTTTGACTTTACCTGTCATCCTCGGTTTCGCTGTCTCATGCTTTTCAGGATAAATTGTGCCGTTATTTCAAAACGTTGCTGTGAGAAAGGCAGCGATTCCGTGGATGACAGATTGAGGTTTTTCCTCAAACCAACATTAGATTTAGAAAACGCTTCGCCACAGAAACATCCAAGGTTTGCCGTCGATTGTGTCACACCAGACAACGACTGAGGGAATATTTTAAATGTATCGCGCTGCACGTTGACGGCAGCTTAAGCCGCCCAGTGCTAATTCCGGTCCTACGGCAGAACAGTTCAATTAAAATCACAGGTGCTTTTCGTGAATGCAGTGTGGGTCACAGAATGTGAGCGAGACATCCCGAGGACCCGTTTGTTTCATAAAGTGGACTGACGACGGATATCAGTTCTTCCCAATGTGCGGGTCATTTTGTAACACATTTATATATTTTACACTGAAAGCAGAGGGACTGAGACGCACCGTTTGACCCGTGTTAAATCAATACTGATAAGAAATCCACATTTTTGGATTCTGCTGCTTCAGATTAAAAAGAATAAGCTTAAAAAATGATACAATTCTGAAATTTATTATGGATATTTTAGAGAAAAAGTGTTAATCCCCAAAATAGCAAAATTTTGCGGATGCTCTCAAATAAACTGTGAAGAAAATTAGATTAGATGTTTCTTGGGAATGTGTCTTTCTATCAAAGTTGCAGTTTGTTTTTGGGTTTGTTTTTTATATCTATATTATATATTTAATGTGTATTCAATGCATATATGAGGTCAATATTATCTTCTAATAAAGCAATAACCTCAAATCTAATTTGCTACCTGATGTTTTTATCATGCCGTGTTAATGTCTGTCCCTTAACACACACAGATGTGGACGTGGGCCTTATGAAGTCTAGGATTTGAATATCTGTTGTACACAGTCAACTAACGCTCTTCTCCGTGTGACGTGGATCCACATTGAGCTTCCTGCGTGCTGACGTCTTCTCCAGTGAAAGAGAGCGTCATCCATATTGAAGTCTCTTCTTCTCTTTTCATGTTTCAGACTGAACGTGTGCAGGCACCTATCCGCTCTCCGGCCAGGACGCAGACATGTTCTTTGCATTCGTTCCAGTGTGGTAAGTTTATCTTTTGTGTCTCACTACCAAGAATAAATGTGTCCCTCAGGCAGAGCAAGCAGGACTTGATGCATGAGGAGATGTTGATCACCACGTGTGGACATATGGAAACACGTAGAGCTGTAAGAATAGTTCTGAAACATGTCGGGAAATGGATGTGTGAACCGATATGATTGTCAAACATTCATTGATTATCCATATTTATTGTGTAACCACGAGAAGCATCGTGTGTGAACTGTGACGTGGTCCAGAGAGTTCCCGGCATTGGGAGCAGATTTCCTGATTAAAAATGGCATTCACGTACAAACTCCCCATGGACGCCTTTTCAAAATACGACAGCAGATTACACTGGTCTTTTCACAGTTTAAAAAATAACACCGCTTTTGACTTCTATGTGTCAACTCACATTTATAAAAAGAGAAAAAATGCACCCCGGTCTCCACAGTTCAAGTCCCAGAGATGTGCACCCGGCCCCCGCCGGTCTGGTGCTAAACACGTGGACATGAGCGCCGCTCCGCCTGATCGCCGCTCCGGGGCACAGATGCAGAATGGTTGAAGCCGTAGTTCTAATCGGCGCGATAAGAGCGGCTCACAGCTCCACGCCGACTGCTAAACTGCACTGGCGAGGTCGGGACGGAGGACATCACAAGCATGATGTTGCTAATTATTTCAGGATTATTTCAGGTTCATTATCAGGGTTTTGGGTGGGGGTTTCTTTGCAAAGAATATTTAGGTTATTTTAATTGCCAATGCAAATAATGAAAGAGGGGGTGGAAAGAGGTTTCTGTGGATCTTCTGGGTAAAGCCTTGAAAGCTCTGGGGAGGCTGGCGTTGGTGTTACTAGCCTGTGCTAGTCATGATGCTCCATACCAGCTGCACCTTTTGGAGACAACTTGTGAGAGACGTGTGGAATGCTCATTGCAGAGGACAGACAGTGGTTTGTCCTTGACCGTTAAATGAATATATTATCCGTACATCAAAGAGTCTTAAGAGGGACTCAAATGTGATACAGTAATGTATTATTCCATCATCAAGAGATGTGTCATCATGTATAAATGGAACTCATTTGGACTCATCAAAGTAGACGGAATTTTACTGCCTCCACCGCTAGTTTGTCCGTAGCTCATCGAGGTTTTCTTCATGACATTTTAGTTGCATTTTTGTGTTGATCTCTCGGCCATTTTTACAAGAAATGTCTAAAATATTGTTACAGCTTATGCAATCTGTGTTCACTTAAAAGCTATTACACTATTTGCTGTAATGGGTCCATGTGTCTACACGCCTGCTTCTCATTGGTTGGTTCTGTATAGTTGTTTTCATTAGGATTAATCATACTGCTGTATGATTAACAATATGTCGAATAGCTTAAACTTTACGATCTTTGGCCAAACCGACCAGCTAAGACAAATGTAGCAGAGTGTGATGAGGTGAATTTGTTTCACTTTTGTCATTTTGAAGTCAATTACCCGGATAAGCCTCCAACTCGTGTGGACATGACTTCAAAGCTGAGAGCCACGAACCCTCCAGTCGAGAGATACTTTCCTTAATTGGTCATCTTGTTTCCTGGATTCGTCGTGCTGAACACCTGCGTTGGAGTGTTTGGCAAACAGATGGAAGAGTCTCAGGTCAAACAAGTTCCATGAACTTGACTCGTGGTCGTGTTGAAGCGCCTGTTTGAAACCACGCAACGAAACGATGACTTTCATCGATGGACGTCGATGAGAAGCAAACGTGCAGCACATCCGGATGTTTGGATCAACAGGGAAAGAAGAAACAAGTTTCTTTGCCACATTTTGTTTTGCTGTTTTGATTGATGTGGCACAGATTAACCACCATTCACAATCAAACGAAACAAATGAGTATCTGACGACGACTTCACAAAGCAACAATCAGCAGCTCATCGCTTGGATGGTGTTACGCTCTTTGACTCATGCTACTATCAGCACACACACACACACACACAGGTTACCAGCAACATCTGAAGCCGCCCACGTGAATCCAAATGACAAAAGTGGTGGCTTCATATCACCATCACAGCAGCCTTCACATCCGATTGTTTCCATCCAAGATGTGTGTGTCACGGTGAGTTTAAGGCTAAATGTGATTGCGAGGAAACCAGATGACTGTTTACAGTACAGCTCCTGACATGTTGCCAAACCCTAAGCATTTGGTAGAGCTCACTGTTCTTATTTCATCATTTATAATTATTAAATATATGTATGTAATTATGTTAAATATGTGTTAAGTGTCAAGAGCAGCAGGTCAGTTCACCAGAGGGCACAATGACATGAGTGCAGCGCGATTATTTGTCAACGAAACTTAAAATAATTCATATACTTGTAACAGGTAAACGTTTGTTGTTGTTGTCTGGAGAACATGGATAGAGTTTCTCCTCCTCTGTGCGTCTTTGTGTTTTTTCGGCTGCCAGTTAGAACAAGAAGCCTAAAAACTATAAAAGGGCGACTGCCCCGGTTCATCTTCTCGCTGTGCGGTGGGTTATTGTTTGTGTTTGCTTTGCCCCCCTTGAATTGTGTTTTCTTGCAGTTCTACCTTCAGAATTTAGTGCCATGTCAAAAAATGTTTGTGTTCGATTTAGTTCTTTTTGTTCTCTCCTTGGAAGGATCGGCAGGGCTTCTGCCTGTTATCATCAGAATGAATAAAGGAAAGCAAAGCTAATAAGGTCCATTCCAAGTTCTTTATTCAGGAGGCGGTGAGGAGATGAATACTGACATCGGTTACTTCATGGCTGGTGTCCGTCACATTTGGAATGACGGCAGACCTTCCATGCCTGTCCCTCTCTGAGAAACACATTTCCCTCAGCACCTCATGTAGGTGTCCCCGGCGCGCCATGAGGCATGACGTAGCTTGCTTCCCTTCCCCCGGTTTGGCAGCATGTCTTTGTGCACTCAATGAAGACCGAGATCTTACGTTTTAATGAAGTCCTGGGAAGAGGCAGCAGCGAGAGACCGATATAGACAGGCCTGTCTGGTAATCCTGTCTCAGAAAACAAGTTTTTCTTCCCTTATCAGTGGATTTACTTTACTTTACAAGAAAAGACTTCATGGGAAGCGTCATAGTTCTGTTTTTGTCAAAAGATCAAAGTCGGTATGTGCAACGTGCTGAATGTCACAGGAAGCACGGTGAAATAAGAATAAGGCACATTTGATGTTACTGAGCATGTTATAAGCTAAAACCTGCATCGGAGCCCGTAACCTGCAACCAATCCGCTCGATGCCACCTGCTTCCTGGCCGCTCATGCAAACGCCCGCCTCGCGATGGAGCGTCTCGCGATGGAGCGTCTCTCTCGGCGCGTCAACATCACTTGAGTCTCAGCACGGGCCCAGCAGCCGCTGTGCAGCCTAGTTTGTGCACCAGAGGCCCCTCTGGGGACCTGTCAGTCAGCAGCATCGCGCCCCGGGGTGAGAAGGTGGCAGAGCATGAAAGCGCGCATTAGGGGGGATGCTGATCAACAGGACACCTGAATCGGGTTTACACTTAATATTAAAGACGTAGCTGGGAGCAGCAGAGAAGGAAGATGGTGGCATGAGGGAGAGCGAGAGAGCAGCCAGTCAAAAGATGCTGAGATCAGAAATAAACTCCATAACGTGCCCTTCTTTAAAACGTATTTTCAAGGCCGTTACTTACAGCAGCAGAGGAGAACATCCGTCCACCTGTTATTTTGTGCGTAATCAGCCACATAATAATGCTGCTGTTTGCTGGGAACAAGCTGGAGCCATTGATTGTTCTCGGCAGTAATTAGGGATCGGATGTCCTGCCACGTGTGGGACAGTCGCCTCTGTGCCCCTGATAGAGCGCAGCAGGGGTGCATTGCCTGTTAGGTGTGACGTCGATCGGTCGATGACTAGTGACCAGTGAACCCGTCTGGGCTTAAGTCATAATGGAGGAGAGGCGCCTTGCGACAACATTTGGGCGTCGCGACAGCGGACTCAGTCGGCGTTGAGCTGCAGCTGTCGCACACATGATGCATTCTTTGAAATCCCCCAGTGAGACACATTTATAATGTCTCTTATCATCGTATTGCTCATGTGGGGGAAAAAAAAGAAAGATATATTCATCAGATTGAGGCAGACTAGCTCCAGTGTGTGTGGAAGCGTTTGTCACGAGTAATCTGCGGTACTTTCATCACTCGCTCATTCATCTCCAACTCCCTCTTCCGTCATTGTAATGCTATTCGATATGTATTCCCTTCCACATATTGCGTTTTTGTAGCGAAGGCAATAAGGGAGGTTTGACAGACGGGACTGAATTGTTAGCATTTGATTGACAGTGCAATGTTCCAGCAGAGAAGCTGGGGAATTATCTGAATATTCAACGTACGGATTAATCCTTCTTGTTATGTACCCTTGCAGAAAAAAGTGTTTCAACATCATTCCAAAAGTTTGAGTTAATTGAAAGCGCATTTTTAATTATTTCTCAACATTGCCAAACTGACTGCGGAGGGCACATTTGGTTTCATGTGACTTTTGGGTACATTGAATACAAATCCTCAATCGGCTTAACAAGAACTCAAACGTTAAACCCTTCTGATTTTAGGGAGAAAGATCCCTGTGAAAACACTGTAGTTCTTGAAGCTAAATTCATTTCTATTAAAAGCATTGATCATATTGATCAGTTGAGCACAATTAAAGCTCTTTCATTTAGAAAGAGGAAAAGTGCTTCAACACCTTGAATGAGATGTAGGAGCACCTCAGTCAGTCGGTGGCGGGGACAATTGTTATGTGTCTCATTTCCCACAGTATTGATGTCTTTAAGTGAGCTTCCCGAGTGCCGCGAGGGAGTGGATCCTTTATAGATTGCTTTTGGGGTGTTTTGGGACACAGCTGACTGGCGTCACTCAACACCGACCCACCGTAGTTCCCTCAGAAAGTGCTTCAGTGAAAGACGGTTTCAGGAGCGGCTGTGATTCATGCTGTCGAATCACGGTGCTCTTTAATTTGTTTTTCTGGAGCAACAAGCAAAGAACGCATTACAATGAACCC